GGAAGAGTTACGAGTTGGGAATGACTCCCAGCTCCTACAAACCCCAAGAGCCGAGGTACAGTGATGTGGAACAGTGCCACACTGTCCCCAACCACGAAGGGTCTCGAAACTACCCTTCACTAGGGCCTACACAAAGTGAAATGTTACACTACACAAAGTAATGTAACTATCTTCAATATCTTGAGGTGTACCCTTTTTGGCGAGCTTCGAAATCACTTGAGGCTTGACACCAAGGCTCGGGCTCTTCATCACAAACTCATCCTTGAGTTCTTGATGGGTCTGCTGCACACACCTGCGACACGCCGAACGTTCGACACAGGACAAAATAGAAACCGCGCACGACAAAATAGAAACCGCGCGCGAGACACAAACGACCGCGTAACACGCGTCTAGCGATAACTCGCTATTGACTCGACACACACACTCGACATCATGACTCAACATTCACACACAATTATAAGCATGAAATATATATTATCCCATGCCCTCATACCATTCCATACACACACACATTCACGCACACGGACAACAAGCCGAGTGCAAACCGTAGGGTTGCACCAACATCACCAAGGTGACCCAACTGAGGCGGCTGTAGTCATCCAAAAAGGTGATGAAGTACCTGCTGTCCTTCTCTCTGTCAGGAGTTTGCATGGGGCCAAACACATCCGTGTGCACCAACTCAAGAGGTGCGGTGGCCCGAGAGGTGGAGGTTGGAAAGGAGGTCCTTGGCAGCTTCCCGGTAGTGCAATCAGGGCACTTGCTTGGCTGCCCACCACCCTCCTTAATCTCCACACCCTTCAGCTCCCCCTTCTTCACACACTCCACAAGCTGTTGCTTCCCCGCATGCCCCTTGCGTAGGTGCAGCAAATCCGCCGTCACCTGCTCCATGTCCTTCCAACGGGTGCTACAAGCGGCTTCCTCCGCTTCAACACCATGTGCCTTCTCCACCTGAGGCACACAAACTGGAACAAGGTATAGACCTTTCTCTAACTTGGCCTCCATCACCACAGCTCCGCCCTTGCAAACCGTGCCACCTTCCATGGTGAAGGTGCATATGTATTCTTGCTTCGCAAGCTGAGAGCATGAGAGAAGGTTGGCTGCCAATTCAGGAACATGAAGCACACCCTTCACATTCAGCACCTCCCCCTCCTTCCCCTTGACGGTGATGGTGCCGATGCCGATTGCTTGTAGCACATCTCCGCTCCCCACAATCACATTTCTGGAGTTAGGTGGGAGGGAGTGATAGGTGGTGAAGAGGTCGCGCCGAGGTACCATTCCACAGGTTGCTCCAGAGTCCAGAATGAGCTGATTGGGGTCAGCCAACGTACGACCAGCAAGCGCCGTCTCTGTCTCCAAGGATAAGAAGGAGAATCCATGATCCGATGAGTCCTCCTTTCCCTTCTTATCCTCGTTTGCCACCGCTGCTGCCGCTTTCTCTTTGCTGCCCTTCTTGTTCCATGCTCCATTCTTCATCCTCCTCTCCACCCACTCAGGCCTAGTGACAGGTGGAGCCTCTCCTGGGTACCCTTGAGGCTTCCACCCATCTGGTCGGCTCCAACACTCCTTCCAAGAGTGCTTCCGGTTGCATCCAGGGACGAGGCACTTGTCGAGATCCTTCTTCTTCCCCCCACCTCCTTGCCGCTGCTGGTATTTCTTGGAGGCAGCCCTATCCCCTGCCCCCATTCCCCCTTCAACTCCTCTACCAGCATCCCGTTTGCGAGCCTCATCAGAGACCAACACCTCCCAAATCCAGGCCTTGGTCCATTTCTGTTGCTCAAGGTGAAGGTACTGCAGTAGGGCCTCGTTCGCCTCTTGGTCCAGCCCCTGGAGTGCGGTGTAGATGATCTCCTTCTCATCTACAGTATAGTTCAACTCCTCTAAGGCTCTCACATACTCATCCACCCTCTGGAGATACTGCACCATGGTCTCCCCATCACCATAGTTGCGTTCCATGGTGTAAAACCGCTTCCTCCATGTGAGTATGCTTAGCAGTCCCTTTTGCAGATGGCGATCTTGAACTCTCTTCCATGCTTGGGCAGCTGCTCCTTGCTTCCCCTTCATGTCAATCAGCATCTTTAGGAGCTCTAGTTGGCCTTCCAAGGCCCAACACAGGTACTGGAACGCTTGCTTGTCCTTGCGGTCCCTTGGCACAAATCGGGTAACACGGCAGCCGTGGCTTCAATGGAGGAGCAATATAGTATGCAAAGTGCGGAGCTGATTGGCGCAAGCGCAGCCGTGAAGGCGTCAGCTACCTCGGGCCAAGCTGATTGGGAGACTTGGCATCGGCGACTTGCACATGTAGCTCTCTCCACCTTGGAGTTGATGCACAAGGAGAAGTGCGTACACGGTCTGCAAGTGCATGGTGATGGTGCTGCCTTTGGCGGCTGCGAGGCATGCATGCAGAACAAGTTCGTGCGATTTCCGTTCCCATGTGCGGAGGGATCAGCGAAGGCACCATTGGAGGTGGTGCACATGGACCTTGTAGGTCCTATGCGGACTGAGGGGACTAGGGGAGCATTGTACTTCCTCACCATGGTGGACGAATGGAGTCGATTCACATGGGCACGTCCCTTGTCCAAAAAGAGTGATGCCGCTGCAGCAATCAAAGAGGATTGGCTGCCAATGGTAGAGCGGCAGTCCACGAGACTGGTGAAGGTGCTTTGGAGTGACTGTGGTGGTGAGTTCCTTGGAACTGATTTCACCAATTTCCTGAAAGGAACGGCATCCGACACCAGCTGACCTGCCATGGAACACCACAGCAAAACGGCGTTGCCGAGCATGCCAACCGGACCATTGGCGAGGCGGCCAAGACCTTGTTGGGGGCTGCTGGAATGCCCTACAAGTTCTGGCCTGACGCTGTCCGCCATGTCATTACGGTCAAAAACAGAGTCTTAACGTATGTTGGCGAGAAGCACTGGGTGCCGTATGAGCGTTGGCTTGGCAAGAAGCCAACCATTGACATGCTGCGTGTGTGGGGCTGCATGGGTCTTGTGATGGTGCCTAAGGACCAGAGGCACAAGCTCGAAGTTGCTGCTGTGTGGGCTGTCCATCTTGGGATGGCAGCTTACTCGAAGGGGTGGCTGATGTGGGACCCCAAGAGCAAGAAGACCCTTGCCAGTCATGACGTCAAGTTTGTTAAGGACGTCATGTACAAGAACTGGCAGCAGCAGCAGCAGCAAGTGCAGATCGGCTTTCGTCTACAGGAGATTGAGCGGTCTGCAGTGAAGGAGGTTCAACTGCACCTCAATGATCTCCCAGGGTTAGAGCTGACCAGTGACCACAGTGGCGGTGGTGATCAGCAAGTTGCTGGTCCTGCTGCAGAGGAGGGGTTGGAAGATGAGTCGGTGCGAGTGGAATCACCATCCCAGCCTGAGCCTGCTGTACAAGCCAAGGTCACGAAAGGGAGTGTGCAGACAAGAGCTTCACCACTTGGGCAGCAAGGTGCTACCCGTGAGAAATGAGTGGCAGCACCACCTTCAAGGCTGAAGTACAGCCGTTTGGGAGGACCCAAACAGGGTGCCATGGCTGTTCAGGCTGATGAGGGAGATGATGAAGAGATGGCTTTTTGCTTCTTCACACCCTTGCCTGGAGAACCAGCCACATTGGAGGAGGAAATCAATGAACCTCAGAAGGAAGAGTGGAAGGCTGCCATGGATGCGGAGTTCAATAGTCTCATTGAGAATGGGACTTGGGAGCTTGTTGAGCTACTCGAAGGGCGACGGCCCATCAGTAGCAAGTGGATCTTCAAAGTGAAGACGGATGCTGATGGAGCACTGGAGCGGTTCAAGAGCCGCTTGGTTGCCAAAGGGTTTCAGCAGAAAGAAAAGATCGACTTCAAGGCAATCTTTGCTCCTATGGCTAAGCCAGTAACATTGAGGAGTTTGCTGGCTGGCGCAGCTGTGAAGGGATGGCATGTGAAGCAGGTGGATATCACCACTGCATTCCTAAATGGAATACTATTGGAGGATATCTACATGAAGCAGCCTGACGGCTATGATGACGGTACTGGTAGGGTGTGCAAGCTTAAGAAGGCTATCTATGACCTTAAGCAAGCACCTAGGTGCTGGTACGAGAAGCTCGAGGAAGTGCTGCTGACTGGAGGCTTCAAAACATCCCAAGCTGACCACAGCTTGTTCCTGCTCGGAGAGGGGGAGCAGCGGCTCTTGCTGCTGGTGTATGTCGATGACATACTGCTATTCTCACTTTCCATGGAGCAGATTGAAAGGGCTCAGAAGCTGCTGGTGGACAACTTCAAGTGCAAGATGCTTGAGGATGTCCATTAATACTTGGGGCTGCAGATTGAGCGAGATGTTGAGAGGAAGTCACACTACATCTCTGGCGTGATGGAGCGTTATGGTGTGAATGAGGGTCGCACTGTAATGATGCCATTTCCTGCAGGCTACAAGCTACAAAAGGCAGCTGAGGATGATGATGTGCTCGAGGATGAGCTGCAGAATCAGTACCAGTCACTCATTGGGAGTGTGATGTATGCAGCAGTGCATACGCGACCTGATGCTTCATTCGGAATTGGGCAGTTAGCCAGAAATGTGCAGCAGCCCACAGAGGAGCACTTAGAGGTGGCAAAGCGCTTGGTGCGCTACCTTGGATCTACAGCATCTGCTGGTGTTCAGTTTTCAGCTGGAGGCCAGCTAATACAACCTGGAGCAGATGGGATCATGCCTGGAACCTTGAAGCTGTCGTGCTTCACCGACGCTACATGGGCCTCGGAGGATGGGGATCAGTCATCTGTAGGTCGCTATGTGTGCATGGTCGGAGGAGGACCAGTGAGTTGGAGGTTCAAGAAGCAGAGTGAGATTGCTCAGTCTTCGGCAGAAGCAGGGTACATGGCGATGTATCATGCCATTAAGGAGATTGTGCTCCTGAGGAAGCTGCTGGAGGACATGGGAGCTGAATAGGAGGGACCTACACCACTTTTCTTTGACAGCGAGAGTGCTATTGCCATGGCCACTAATCCTATCCTGAATGGGCTGAACAAGCACATGAAGGTTAATTGGCACTGGGTGAGGCAGATGGTGAAGGAGGGGGCTGTTGAGCTTCATTCGGTGAAGGCCTGCAAGCAGGCAGCTGATTTTCTTACCAAGAGACTTCCCCAGAGCGCACATTGGAAGTGTGCTAAGATGTGTGGCATGGCGTTGCACTAGTGTGTCCAGCAATAACATAGAAGCATGTGCGTTTGTCAGTGTGATGAGTCTGTATGCGTGGAAGTGTGTGTGCATGCAGTCCGTTAGTCTGAGGGGGAGTTTGTTGTATGCACGTCAGTATGCGTGCATGTCATCCTAATGTCCTGCTGTGTGCTCGTGCAATCCATGCTTGCATCATTTGCATGAGCATAAATCATTCTGCATGGCTGTTGGATATTACCACCTCTGAGTTTTTCTCCAAGTCTAAATGCTTGATCACGCAGGAGAAATCCAGAGCTTTCCAACGATACCAAGATCGCCTTATTCCGACCAAGATCGCCCAAGTTACAAGATTTCCAAGATTTGGGAATTCTATCTTAATTGGGATATTACAACGACTGGTTCGCCGAGTTCGACATCAACACCTTCACGCCAGCAAGTGCAGTGTGCACTAGACCGTCGCTTTGAGTCGTAGTGTCTAAACCGTTTTGACCCTCTAATGTGCGCCCTGTAGTAAACTTGAAAAAGCCCCGGGCTGAGCTGGTCCTCAAGTGAATTGCAGCTGCCTGGGCGGCCGTGCCTGAGCACATCATCGAACGTACCTTCCTCACCACCGGCATCTGCAACGCCGTTGATGGGTAGCAGGACCACCTCATCGAGGCCCACATGCATGAAGCGGGCAAGGTTGAGGTGGTCGCTGATGTTCACACCGCTCTTAAGGTGGAGGAGTGGGTGAACCCCCTCTTCGCCACAGCTGCTGAAGACGCGGAGGCTGCTGTGGCGATGGATCACGAGGATTGCGGGGACCTGCCGCCGGAAGAGGAGGAGGAGGAGGAGGAGGAGGAGGAGGAGGAGGAGGAGGAGGAGGAGGAGGAGGAGGAGGAGGATGTGCAGGAGGACGAGGAGCAGGAGTGAGTCGTAGGGAGTGCTTAAGGAGACGCTGAGCCTAATGCATGTGTGGAATGTAACGATGATTACTGCATGGTCCGTAGGAATGTAACTGCTTGATTGCTAGGAATGGTAACTGCTTGGTCCTTAGGATTGTCAATGGGGTCTTAGAATGGTACAGGGCAAAAGGGAGGTCCTCACAAAACAGTACCAATTCAAGAGTCTCACTGCCCTATAGAGAGTCCAGGGGGACCCTTTTACCGGCGGGTCCTATATCCGGGAGAATACGGTACATAGTTATAAAGAGCATATGTAGTATATTGATAAATGTTACGAATAGAGAAATGAGAAGCTGCACTAAGCATTCCTGCCTGTAGCAAGAACGGAGAATACAGAAAGGAGTACGAAGGCGAAATGTTGAAGCGACGCGAACAGTTGGAAAGCATCTGGACCGTCGGAGCAGACAGCATCGGGCAGCTGCAGGAGCGAGGAAATTGGCGGGAACAATTTCGTAACTGTACGAGCCGCACGGTTGGGTTTGAATTCGAATAAGGGAATGTACCCCTTAGAGTACATGGCTAGCTAGGACGCTTGGTATTCCCCTGTACTACTATTTATATGGTTGAATTTGCATGTTTTATCATCTCAATCATTTTACATTCACTCTGATTTCAGGTCAAGTGCCCACCTCTACCATACTCACTCTGTGAAAACCTTCTCGAGGTGATTGTGGTTACGATTCACTTTTGATCGTAGCAATAACAACCTACCAACAGTAAGCATGCAGACAGATATATAGATCACAGTACAAGGCAAAGTCAAGGCAAGTGAGGCAGAGTAGGCACGAGGTCAAGAGCACTACAGAAGAAACGTGACCCAAGGGCGTTGGTGAAGATATCAGCAATGTTGGCCTGTGAGGCCACGTAATCAAGACGGAGCTGACCACGCTGTTATAGCTCTCGTGCGAGGAGGTAACGAAGAGCAATGTGCTTTGTTATGTGCTCCAGTCTCTGCTTCCGAAACAAGGCAATCAAGACCTTGTTGTCGACGTACAGGATCGGAAGAGAACGAGACCGCTCGCCCCAAGTCAGTCAGCAAGTACCAGTACATCAGCTAGCGTAACTCCTGTGCATCACAATTGGAGCTGAGAATAGAAGACGAGCGGGTGGACCTCCAGGAGACATAACCATAGCCGAGATTGAAAGTGTAACTCTGAGTCTCCTGGCCGTTTGCCCAAGAAGCATCTGAGCGCCCAGTGAGCACAATTGGACACCGTCCTCCAAGCACAAGCCCCATGCCTGATGTATTGCACACGTAACGCAGTACCCTCTGCGCAGCTGTACAGTGTTCCTTCCGATGTCTGAGCAATGAAGCGAGCCATGATGCTAAGAGGGTACGCGAGGTAAGGCCGAGTACAACTCATCAGGTCCATGAGGCAGCCCACAAACTTTGCATACTGACCACTCGGCTCTACGTACTCGTCCGAAGGTGGAGCTGAGAGCGATTTGCCTGTAGGCAGAGGAGTGGACTGTGGCGAGGAGAACTGGAAGCAGAAGCGCTGAAGGACCTGGTGCACCATGTGTGACTGCGTCAGAGTGATGGTGTGTCGTGCTCTGTCTCGGGTGATCTGCAAGCGAAGATAGCTGTGTAGCTCACCCAAGTCAGTACAAGTGTGTCTCTTCTGCAGCTCTGACTTAACAAGGGCCAGTGCGTCAGTGTCAGCAGTAGCAAAGACCAAGTCGTTGACGTACACGAGGATGTAGAATGGCGGCAGAGAAGAGTCGGTGCGTAACAAAGTGTCAGGTCAACAGTTGAGGGAGCAAACCCAAAAGCCGCAAGTGTAGTCCTAAGTGTGACTTGCCACCCCCAAGGCGCCTGGCTGAGACCGGAGACCGGCCCCCGAAGGCTCCACTATGTACCCTCAGGAAACGACCCCATGAAGCCAGGTGGGTGGCACAGCCAGATCGCCTCGTGAAGGCTGCCCTGCAGGAAGGCTATGGAGAAGTCAAGCGAGTGGAACTCGTAATCACGCTGTGCTACAACGTGCAGTAACACCCGAAGAGTAGTCATCTTCGGGGTGGGTTAGAAGGTCAGGAAAAGTCAACTCTCTGTCGCTGGCTTCGTGCAAGGACGCCGAGGTCGTCCATCCTCCTTCCCCTTCCCCTCAGACCCCTGCCCCTCCCCTCGTGGGCGACCTGCACGGGCTGACTCCGATGTCGGCCTCCGGCGATGAGGGGAGTAGTGGGACATCGCCTTCGGCGCCGGTCAAGGGCATCGCCGGTGGCCGACGTGACGAGCGGCAAGTCGACGTGGGATTGACACCGACGTTGACAGGGGAGGAGCAGGTCGAGGAGGTGCAGCCGACTTGGGTGAAGTCGGCGAAGAAGGCAGCTGAGAAGCAGCCGACAGGGGAGCAGGCAGCGGTGAAGCCGACCACGGAGCAGTCGGCAACCAGGCAGTCGGTAGGGACGCCGACCACAGGGGAGAGGTCGACCAGAAAGTCGACTGAGGTGCAGCAGGACGACGAGGGCAGTGAAGACGGGGACGAAGGAGGGGACGCTGGGGAGTCCACCAAGAGTGACGTGGTGGAGGTTCGGCCGGAACCCCGGAAGTCGGACAGAGTTCGAAGGCCACCCGACTTCTTCGTCCCCGCTGCCTTCACCACGGTTTACGACGTCGACGATGACGACGACCTGCAGTACGACGATGCCGAGGAGGATGAGGAGTTTCCGGAGCTCGACCCGGACATGCTGGCCGACCCCGAGCACCGTTGGGACATTTCGACGATGACGGTGAAGGAGGCGTTGGCGAGCTGGAAGGGCCCGGCGGTGAAGGCCGCCATGGAGGAGGAGATCCGCAGCCTCATCAACATGGGCACTTGGGAGCTGGTCGAACGCCCGCCGGTGGTCAACATCATGAAGAACCGGTGGGTGTTGACGACGAAGTACCACGTTGACGACACCGTCGAGCGCGAGAAGGCGCGGCTGGTCGTGAAGGGCTTCACGCAGGTGTACGGCGCCGACTACGACGAGACGTTCGCGCCGGTGGGCAGCTACGTCACGCTGAGGATCTTCCTCAGCATCGTCGCCGTCCTCAACCTCAACCTGATGCAGCTCGACATGAAGAACGCCTTCCTGCAGAGCAAGCTCGACCGGGTGCTCTACATGACTCAGCCGGACTACTTCAACGACGGAACCGGCCGGGTCTGCAAGCTGCTGAAGAGCCTGTACGGGCTGAAGCAGTCGCCGCTGTTGTGGTACTTGGCGCTCAACGACGTGCTGGTCGGCGCCGGGTGGAAGAAGAGCCAGGTTGACGAGGCTCTCTACTTCAAGGTCGGAGAAGACGGAGTGGCCTGCTGGGTGCTGGTCTACGTCGACGACCTGCTCGCCGCCAGCAGCAGCACCGAGATGCTGAAGGAGCTGAAGGAGCTGCTGGAGTCCGACTTCGAACTGCGTGAAATCTCGCCGGTGCAGAAGTACCTCGGGCTGGAGATTGTCCGCAACAGGTCAGCGGGGAAGCTGTGGCTGCACCAGCAGGGCTACGCCGACAAGCCGCGTAGGCGCTACATCGACGAGGAGCAGACCGGGCGCACCCCGAAGACGCTGGTCTCGATCGACGCCTACGGCGAGCTCACCTTCGACGACGAGGAGGCACAGGAGCGACAGGAGGAGGAGTACCGGCAGAAGGTCGGCTCGCTGCAGTTCGCGGCGACGACAACAAGGCCGGACGTCGCCTTCGCCTGCAGCAGGCTGGGGAGCGGCCTCACGGTGAGGAGCGACCAGCACTGGCGCGAGGTCGACCGCTGCCTCGCCTACCTTGCCAACACGCGTGACACCGCCCTGGAGTTCGGCGGTGGACCTGAGTCGCTGGAGCTGGTCGGCTACGTGGACGCCGACGACGCCGGTGACAAGCAGGACAGGACGAGCACGGGCGGCTACGTGTTCGTCTACGGAGGGGCCGCAGTCTCCTGGTCGAGCCAGCGCATCAAGTGCGCGACGTTGTCGTCGACCGAGTCAGAGTACGTGGCGGCCACCGAAGCCGGGAAGGAGGGACGTCGACTTCGCTTCCTCCTCGCAGAGTTCCAGCAGCTGGATGCTGGGAAGCCGACCGTCCTCCGGGTGGACAACAAATCGGCCATCACAGTCGCCGAGGGCATGGGGTTGACGGGCAACCTCAAGCACATGGAGCGGCGACAGGCCTGGCTGCAGCACATGGTGAAGCGCGGGAAGTTCTCGCTGATGTACATCCCGACCGCTGAGCAGCCAGCCGACTTCCTGACGAAGGCGCTGCACTATCCGGCCTTCAACCGGTGCTCCGTTGCCATCGGCCAGGTGCGCTTGGCTGACGTGGGCGACGAAGTTGACGAAGTGCAGCAGTAGGTGCCATGCCCTCTTGCATGGCTGGTGCGGTGGACGACGTGCTGTGTGTTGGGTGCACGTCGACGAGCTTTTCTCTGAGGAGTACTGCCGTGTGGGCTGGGGGGGCCCAAGCGTGAACGCGGCAGGGGAGTGTCAATGGGAGTTGTGTGTTGGCCCCGTCCTCGCTTGGGCGGAGCCGACTTCGTGGTCGGGTGTGAGGGGAGCAGCCGACCTGCAGCAGTGGGCGAGCTGGTTGACGAGGAGGTCGACCTGCACGGGGACCACTGCACGGGCGCCGACGTCAGGTGGCGCCGACTTCAGGGAGGTCGACTTGGGAAGTCGACCTGCGGAGGACGTCAACTTGGTGACGTCAACTTGGGGAAGCCGACTTCGGTGGTCGGCTGACGGACTGCTGGTCGACCTAGTGGTTGGTCGACTAGACCTGCTGGTCGACCTGCTGGTGGTCGACCTGACCTGGTGGTCGACGAAGGAGGGGCCGACGTCGACCTCGACTCAGGTCGCCGAGCAGTTGGGCGTCGAGTTGCTGGGCGTCAACTTCGTGACGCCGACTTCGGGTAGCCGACTTGGGTGGTCGGCTGACAACTGCGCTGGTCGACATGGAGCTGGTCGACCAGGAATGCTGGTCGACGTGGAGCTGGCCGACCAGAAGTGACGTCGACCTGGAGCTGGTCGACCAGGGGCGTGGCGACCTGGTGAGGTCGACATGGAGTGGCCGTCGACTTGGGAGGTCGACAGGCACATACGGGAGCTGCTGGTCGACCTGGTTGCCCGGTCATCTGGGTTACCTGGGTGACGAGGGTCTGCGGAGGAGTGCGACGGTCGCCCAGGCGAAGTTGGCGAGCCCGACCTCGGTGGTGGTATCCCGAGGTCGACGTGGCTGATCAGAAGCAGTCATCAGCGCCAGGTTGACTTGGTGTGTGCGTTGTGCAGGTGACGAGGCTCAGCCCGCCAATCATCTGCGAGCACCTGCGAAGCGGGTGCGCTGCTGTTCTGCGTGAGCAGCGCTGGCACGCCGTCAACCTGCGACGTTGGCACGCCGTCGACTTTGCACTGCTGGAGCGCGGTCGACCAGGTCGTGCTGGAACGCGGTCGACCATGCTGCGCTGGCAGTCGACCGACCTGAATGCTAGCTCTGATGTAGTCTTGCCATGCCAACTTCATTGTACCATTGTTGTCAACTTTCTCTAGTGAAACTCTTGCCAACTTGCCCCGTGAACTAGCAAGCAGTGTGTGCACTAGGAAAACGACTAAGGACCAACGAACGCAGAGATCACACGAGCACCCGTGCCTAGCCCGTAGTCTAGCTCCTGTTGTAGTAGTTATCTCCGCACTCACGAGGCTCTGTCAGAGAGTCAGCCTGCTCACTGTAAGGAGAAGGAGCAAGCAGTGGAAAGCTGTGGATGTGACTGGTCATGCGGAGGACAGAGTAGGGGAGGAGTAAGGCCAGTGGAAGACTTAAGATTGAGAACCTGGTGAGGCGCCGAGCCAGGCGGTGGTAGCGACGACTTCGGCTGACGCCAGAAAAACGGTCGCTGCGCACAGGCCGTGCATCACCCTCAACAATAGAACCTCCAGTACCTTTAGCTCCAGTACCTCGAGCTACAGTACCTCCAACACCAGTACCTCCAGCACCAGTACGTGCAGCACCAGTACCTCCAGCTCCGGTACCTCCACCAGCAACAGACCTAGCACCTCCTGCTCCAGAGTCAGCAACCTCAGGCTTAGCACCCCCAAAACCAGCACCTTCAGATTCAGCGCGGCGTCTGACTACCCACTCACGCAGCTGCTGCGGTGAGAGAGTCTCCTGCGGATGCGACGGCAGATGCTGTCCACCCTCACGCTCAGCACCCCCAGAGTCAGCACTCCCAGGCTCAGCAACTTCAGAATCAGCACCTTTGGAGTTAGCACGGTGTCCGACTACCCACTCACGCAGCTGCTGCTGCGACGGGAGCTGCTGTCCACCCCCAGGCGCAGCACCTCTAGGCTCAGCACCCCCAGGCTCAGCACCTCGAGAACCAGCACCTCCAGCGATAGTACCCTCAAAGCCCACACCTCCAATGTCACCACCTCCAGCAGTACTGAAGTCCACAGCGACAGGCGGTAGAGGTGGCGAAGACGGCCGAGGTGGAAAGCTAGGAGAGGTCTGCTAGCGTCGTCAGAAGTAGGGTCACCCCCCTCAATCAGGCCAGAGGAGACCCCTCAATCACAAGTGCCTAGCCAGCACACTACTTCAACTAGTCGTTAACCTGCTTAGCCACCCACTTCTCCACCTCCTCCTATCATACCAGCCTGGGGCCCACCACTTTTCGTCATCGCTCCAAGGCATCTCCACCCCCGCCTCTCTTGCACCCTCACCCTCCTCCTCTTCCTCCTCTCATCTCCTCTTCCTCCTCCTCCTCCTCCTCCTCCTCTTCCTCCTCCTCCTCCTCCTCCGCCTCCTCCTCCTCCTCCTCCTCCTCCTCCTCCTCCTCCTCCTCCTCCTCCTCCTCCTCCTCCTCCTCCTCCTCCTCCTCCTCCTCATCGTCCTCATCCGACGATGAGTCAGTCCTTCCGTCCTTCGCCGCGGCAGCCTCAGCCTCCAGCTCTGTCTTGACCTCGTTCTCCGCATCGACACGAACCGGGACGGCCGCTGGGTCAGGGTAGAAGGGGTTGGGGTCGGGCTTGTCCATCTCCTCCTCCTGCACATCGTCAAGCACCTTCACCTCGGCCTTATTGCACAGGTGAGCGAGGATCAAGTGATCCTCGCTCGCTTCCAAGGCGTTGGAGATGCCGGAAGGTGAGGAATGCCTACCTCACTAGGGCCTCAGGGACGTCGGCCACTCGTTGGGAATCCAGCCGGGACGCGTTCGGCTAAGGGTTTCTATACATTTCCTGTGGGATACATGCATGTGGTGGAGGGGTGGAGAGGGGAAGCACAGAGAGTCGTATGTTGCGGGTGGTGTAAAGACAATCTCAACAAGAAGCACAACACCGTCGTACTGTCACTCACGGCCGTACCTACCGGGTTGGTGAAGGAGATTCCATCCTCCTCAAACCAGGTGTTGTAACGGTGATGACAACGCGAATGAGCTTGAAGAGACGCATCGTTTGCCCAACCACCTCGGTGATGTGGCCCATTTAGGAATCGAGGACGAGGAGCTCATCTTTGCGACTTCCGTCCTTGTCCCATAGCGGCTTTAGGGTTTAGGGTTCGAACACTTGGCTTGTTCAATCTTGGACAAGCTTCTCGTCCATTTAGCCCTTTTCCTGGGCTCGGATAATGACACTTGCGGGAGCCAAACACGAACAGGTTAGTGTAAAGTCCCATTCAAATGAATCAGATATAGCGAACACATCAACAACTCACCCAGCGGCATGGCAATCTTGGGCACTGTCTTCCTCTTGAAGACCACGTACAGGAGGAGCTTCATCACGCTAACCGTCACTGCCTACATGATGGTGGCGCGCTCCTTCTCATACCCTGCAGTCCGCACATGCATCGTACGAGTGCCTTTCATCTCCAAGGTGGATGCTGCAAGAATTTCTAAGAAAAGGGGCGTTTGGTCCGCATTAACAATCAGATGGAGAGGGAAAGAGTGCAACGTGCGCATCTGACGCATGAACTCCCAGAATTTCTGGCACTTGCTCCCACAATCTGCAACACAGGACACCAAAATGTGTCATAATGAATTCTTGGGACAGGAAAGGAAAATATACCAGTCTTACCAGCATCAAGTTTCTGGCCCATTTTCGTCTTCACCCACTTTGCCAACGACCATCGCACACGGAAACGACGTGTCCAGCAGCTCGACACTCTATAATCCACCTAAGGTTGGCGGTTCTTCATGTACGTAGCAGACCACCGCTGGATAATGCTGACGGACAGCGCCAATATATTGGCACTTGGGGGTAAACCGCCTTCTCCATGTAACGGCCACTTGGGCTTACGCCCAACACCGTGAAGGCGTTTGCGACATTTTGCCACCACCTTCAGCCGCTCCTTTAGACTCTGCCACTCGCGGATCTGTTTTGGCTGGACGTTGGCGAGCCTTGGCAACCCTCGAACACTCAAGTCGGGCCACGACCCTAGCATCAAGAGCCAAAACAGCTTCTCCTTGGCGGTGCAAACGTGCCGCTTCTTTTTCATCATACGGTGACCAGGAGAGGGGAGGGTAGCATCCAGAACACGTTTCTTCTTCTTCTATGGGTAACTTGACTATGGAAACTCGGGAACATGAACTCTAGGCAAAGGAAGGCGTGGGCTGGAAGTGTGATGCATGTTGTCAAACGGTTCGCTCATACTGCTCGATGGCTTGACCAGCCTTGATGATAAGGGGAGGATGGCATCTGCCATCCGACATCTCAGTACCTGTTGAATAAACCATAGCTACGCCTAAAGCAAGAGCTACTGCTTCATCATCGAGTTAGAACGGCCTACGCTGTCCATATTTAGAGCCTGCTGAGCAGAAGTGAGTGTAACGCGAAGGAGAAGAGAGAGGTGGAGTAGGAATTCAACCCAACCTTTGCGTCACTGTTGAAGCCGTTCAAAGCAGCACCATGCCCGCCCATTCCTCAAAGCGTGCATGAATTGACGTGTCGTGGTGGCGTGACAATGTGCGCTGGGCCCAACCCTCGGTCGTGCTTCTACCGGTAGGTTCGTTTGACATGATTGTCTGTGTGATTGTCCAAGTAGAAACCAACTAGTGGATTTTAGAGTGACAAACCAACATCCCATCCCATTCCATACGCGTTGTGCGCCCTTTTTGAAATCTAAAAACGAACTACACACCAACATGATGTTTGCGAACATGATCCCACAGCAACAACACATGAAACAAAATGCGAAAACGAATGCACACAGAACACACACAAAATGCATGACATCATGCAGGCGGCTGGTTGCAGTGCAAAAATAGTATTTTGCACCCAACAAAATCCTGTCCCGGAGCAACGCATCTGCCAACGCTGACTCGGAAGCTGCCGTGCGGCCCAATCCCCTGTCATGCGATGGGGCCAGCCGCAAGATTGTGCGTGGGACGAATCTGCGGTGGGCGCTGACGACGATGTGCCCGACACCGAGGCTGGCATCGAGGCCGGCACTGACACTGGCACCGACACTGGCGCCGAGGCCGGCAACACGGCAGATGTGTTTCCCGAGGGTGCCCCGGGCGGCGAGGACGACGACGGTGTGGAGTATTGGTCGCGCGACGGACTTCCCGAGAAGCTCCCTATTCCTACGTTTCCTCCGGTTAACCGCAAGCGCCCCCACCCCTCTTCTGAGAACCGTGATTCCCGCCCCCCCTCTCCCAGGCACAAGCCGTCGCAGCATAAGCGCAACGCTTATACCGCGCAGGAGAAGCTGTAGTGGATTGGGCATGGATGTGGCGGTGTCGCTGCGGTCATTGTCGCGCGAGTCAGGAATCCACCGCAAGTGTCTCGCGGAATGGAAGAAAGCCGCCGCCATGCTCAAGGAAGCGCACTCAGCACGGAAGCGGATGCATGGGTGCGGGAGGTCATCGTGGTACAGGCCGATGGAGCTGAAAGTCTACGCGAGGCTTCTCGAGTGGCGCTGCAAAGGAACTGCCGTCTCCGTCGGTCGCCTGCAGGAGTGGTCGAAGGAGTACATGAAGGTTCTGTTCCCCAACGTGAAGTGGAAGGGCAGCCAGCAGTGGTCGGAGCGGTTTCGGAAACGGTGGAATCTGAGCGTGCGCATGAAGACGAGGATTGCCCAGAAGACCGCCGAGCGTAAGTGCCGAATTCCTGTACCGTGTGCTTGTTGTGTTTTTCATTTACAGTCGTTGACTAACCACTGCCTCTTAACATTGTCCGTGTGTGCGCAGACGTCGCGGAGCTGTGCCAGTCTTTCTGGCAGTACGTTCGTGAGAAGCGGCGTGAGCGCGGCACCGAAACCCGCTGGATTATCAACGCCGACTAGACGCCGCTGTGGCTGGAGATGCCCGCCACGACTACTGTGGACGAGACGGGCGTTCGCTCAGTGCCCATCAGGAGCGGGGGGTACCAGAAGGAACGCGTGACCGTGATGCTGGCGTGCATGGCGGACGGCGAGAAGCTCAAGCCGTGGGTTTTTTTCAAGCGCAAGACGGTGCCGAAGGGTGACTTCCCGCCAGGTAAGAATACACCACGGTCAGCAGTTGTTTGGTTTTCCAGTCGTAATAATAACGCCAGTTTCTTGGCTGTCTCTGATATCGCAGATCTGGTCGTGGCGGTGCACCCAAACGGCTGGATGGACGCCAACGGCGTCATGCGCTGGCTCGAGGAGTGCGTCAAGCCCTTCATCCGGCCTCGGTTCGGCAGGCAGGCGAGGAGTGCCATGGTTGTCCTTGACTCCTACCGCGGTCATCTCACGGACGAAGTGAAGCAGAAGTTCGTGGACCTCGACATCGTTCCGGCGGTGATCCCGTCGGGCTGTACGGCGGAGGTACAGCCCCTCGACGTCTCGATCAACAAGTCCTTCAAAGCAAGCATCCGCCAGCAGTACCAGACCTGGTTTGAAGAGGAGGGCCAGGAGCGGCTGACGCCTGCAGGTAATAACCCCACCGTTGATCCCTAGTTGGCTGCTTCGTTTCCCGGTGTATCCTGTGCTAACACCATCTCCCACACTCTGACTTGTGGTGCAGGGAACATCAAGAAGCCGCCCCCTGCGGTGGTGCTCAGGTGGATCTCACGGGCCTGGAAGGCCGTGCCACCAGAGCTGATCAAGAAGGCGTTCCTCACATGTGGCATCAGCAACGCGCTTGACGGCAGTGAGGACAACCTTGCCATGGCGCACAGGCGAAGCCAGCTGACCCACGAGGTCGACGTTGATGACGAGATCGTCGCCAACGGCTTCTTTGGCAACAACTGCGAGGAGCCGGAGTCTGACGACGAGTAGATTTCTAGTTCAGGGTTTAGGGTGCAATTCTTAATGTGTAATGAGATCATTGGTAGAGAGGCATGTGTAGATATCATGTTAGTGTAGGTAAAAATGTTTAGATTAAAAAAAAATAGTGGAACGACTACCCCCTGGGAGGAAGGGATGCGCTTATAAAAAGTACAGGCATTCTAGGGGGTGCGCTTATAATTGAGTACCGGCCATAAGCGCATGGCTCTAGATAGAAGCGCCGGCGCCTTTAATCAGGCGGCGCTACTATCCGGGGCGATCCGGTATCGTAGGGCCTGGCAGCATCGCAACCGTGCGGTCCGGCAACCGTACGCGGTCCGGTAACTGTTTGAACATTTTCCCGTGCTTTGCACTTCAAATTCTTCCTGCTTGTAACTGTCTCGATAACTGTCTCGTCGCTTGGTGTTTCGTCCTCGCTGCAGTCATCTTCGCGTTAAGGATTTGTTACTCAGGAATGTTTATTCAACTATTCCATATCGTAACACTCCCCTTCATTCCTGGAGGAGCGAAGTCTTGACGCTCTTGGTTATGCCGCAGATGTTTCCGCAGTGATGATACTGCTGACGTGGCAGCTTCTTGGTGAGGAAGTCAGCTGCCATGTCACCAGTGGGGCAATAAGTCAAGATGACTTTGCCTTTGTCAACTTCGTCTTTGACGAAGAAATAGCGGAGCGCGATGTGCTTGGTGCGGTTGACGAAGCCAGGCTTGTTCGCGATTTTTATCGCGCTTTGGTTGTCGCAGTGAAGTTTGAAGCTTGTGTCAAACATATATGCTGCTTATTGTGTAGGCTGTAGTGGGGTAGCCTATATGGGGTACAACCCAAATTAGGGTTTCCTACTTGTACCCATCCTGCTGCTAGTTCATTCATTCCTGTTCGTTATTCTGACATGGTATCAGAGCAGGTCCTAGCCTAGGACCGTTTTTTTCTTTCGGGCCCACCATTACTTAGTGACCGACTGCGGTTACCGTGTTACCCCACGCCATGCCCTGCGCTGCACCGTTAGCGCGCGCCCTGCCCTGCCCTGCCTTGCGTCACACTGCCCGTATACGCCCAGCCCTGCGTCGCGCTGCCCCGCGCACGCCCTGCCCTGCCCCGCGTCGCGCTGCCTCGCGCACGCCCTGCCCTGTCCCGCGTCGCGCTGCCTCGCGCACGCCCTGCCCTGCCCCGCGTCGCGCTGCCCCGCGCACGCCCTGCCCTGCCCCG